GACTGTTGCTTCAATACAAGTATTTCAGAAGGGGTTGTTTATGCTTTGGAGATAGAGAGTTAGTGCTCTTGATTCGATTTGGTTAAGGCTTGCTTTGGGTTTGGAGTTTTCACCATCGTTGATTTATCCCTCTTTGCAATATGTTCAAGAGACAAGGTTGTCTCTCGGTTTTGATTCGTATGTACTGCCCCGGCTGTTCCGCTATGTCGGAGTAGTTTAGGAAGGTTAGGTTGCAATACATCTGCCTTATTATTGTGGTAAGGAGGGTAATGAATTGTTGTTTGGGTGGTGATTCGTTTAGACTCAAATCGGTAAAATTCTTATAAAGATTGGGCTTCGACTTGATCGCAAGGATCTCCATCTCATAATCTGCTTATTTTTGGATCTGCAACCCTATTAGCTTAATCTTGTCTTTCTTGTATTACTTAGCTAGTTTTCTTATGTTGGCTTTTGCTTCCATCTATTGGAATTGTGGAACTCTCCTTTGTGATTCTTGGTTAATGGTTTAATATCAATCTTTAGATGACAAAAAAAAAATAGATGAAAAGCTTGGATTAAATAAAATGTAATGGAAACAGACGAATTTTTCACTTCGTTTGATTTAGCAAGGAGAGATATCTAGTCACTTCCACCATGGTTTCCACGTCCTCTGTTTCTCCTACCATCGGATTTGGAAGATGATTGCATATCCTGAACTTTTATGGATTGTTACACCAGTCTTTCACGAATAAATCTTTGCCTCGATGAGATCACTACTTTTATACTCTCCATTGGTAAGAGTATCTCAACAATAAAATACTAGAATTTTTATAATATTTTATTTTTAGATACTCACTACTTAATATCACCTCTATTAGTTAGATACCCAATCAGTATCTCATTAACCAAATATCAATACTTTCATTTTTTTTAATTAAAAAAATTATGCTAATATTTCTAAACATATCATATTAAATTTTTAAATATAATTTTAATTTTAAAAATTTCAGTCTTTATTAATTATTATAACATTGTATTAATTTTAATTTTATATCTTGTATTAATTTTTATGTAAAATCAATTAAAAATAACATTATATATTTTTAAATAGAATTTTAATTTTTAAATCTCATTTTTTAATTATACCTTATTTTATAAACTAAAAAAGATTAATTTAATATTTCGTATTAACCTTAAATAATATAAATAAAAATTATGTTAATATATAATTTATATTTATGCATAATGGAGCTTGATACAAAGATAATTTTATTTTATGATTTATAAAAAGTAAAAAAAATAATAATAACAACCTATAAACAATTTAATTAATATTCTAAAGTATAAAGAATGTAATTTATCCCAAAAAAATGAGAACCAATTATAAAATGACAAGTGTCATTTATTTTGTGAGAGAGTGAAACTCTCATGTGTCTCTCAATTAAGAGACCCTCTCATGGGTATCAGGAAAAAAATTAATAAAAAATTATTTTGATTTTGACTTATTTTTAATTAGAGGATTTCCATTGGTGAGATATCCTAGGGGTCTCTCACTAATATAATACTACTATTTTACTATATTACAACTTGAGAGACTCAATACTTAATATCACCTCTATTAGTTAGATACCCAATGAGTATCTCATCAATAAAATATTAATATTTTTTTAGCACAATTGCACAAATATCACTTTTGGTGTGTACATTTTCAAAAATGTCACTATGGGTTTCAAAAATCTTAGCTTCAAAGAGGATATTTGATCGTGAAAATCCAATGGTTAGATCTCAAGATATGCTCAATTTACTAAAGACCGATCGTGCAGTCTTGAAGGAGAAGCCAACAGAGGATGTACATCGGTGATCAACCGATAGTGTTTGGTGATTGACCGATCACCAACTCACTATTTTTTACGTCCAGACGATTTATCAAGGTGATCGACCGATCACAAAAGGTAAACGATTATGGCATCTTCATTTAAGAAAATCTATGGGTTTAGTAGTTATTATATATATACGTTCCGACTTTATCCTCTGAATCTGATCATTTGTATATGGTATTGATAATTCATCCTTGTAGACCCCTCTATTTCTCACTTTCTCGAAGTCGATTTTTTGTCGCTTATGTATATACAATTTACTTTTATTGATGAATCATGGATCTACATTTTAGAGTTTCCAACGCACCACCCATTCTTATTCGTTTAGTAACTATAAGAATGGTTTAAA